CCCTCCATGAACAGTAGTGTGTTCTCTGTGGACCTCCTCTGTTGACTGACATACCTCTCCTGGTATTTCCCCCCTGGCCTGGCCCAGTTCCTGCCTCTCCTCCTCCCTCTGAAGCCCGGCCCGGTCTGGTCTGGTCTGGTCTGGTCTGACGACACCTCTGCTCCTCAGCGCTCAGAGCTGTTGGCTGGACGTCAGATCCAGGAGAAAACAATGGCTTCATATCGCAGCTAATTCCTCCTCTGTGGCGGTTCCAGAGAGGCTGGCAACCATCACCACCACCACTGCTACCACACCCAGTCCCAGCTGCCGCCTCGTAGCCACCAGCGAGGGATCGGCCCGGCATGTTTCTGGTCTTTTGGGGCCGTGATGAAGTACTCCGAGAGAGTCAGTCGGCAGCAGATCTGGACAGTAACGCTGACCTAAAGTTTAAAGCAATAACAGAACAGAGGAGCTCTTTCATAAACTACCCCAAACTGTTTGAGTTCTTATTACTGAGAAACTCACAATAATATGGAAGCCCATTTCTGATGAAAACTGAGCCAGAAATTATGAGACAGAAAGAGATAACTGCCTTTTATCTAATTTTATAAGATAAAAAAGTCAAAATCTAGAGAAGAAAAGAGATAAAAAGTCAGAATTGTAACTATTTCATGAATAAAAACAAACTTATTTCTTGATTTCAGTCCAAATCTGACGACTCTAAACATTGCAAATCTGGTGCAACAGCCGGTTTACAGCTGACGATGCAGATGGAAGAAAAATATGTTTCTTAATGAATTTGCTGGACATAACATTTCCAGACTGAATAATGAGGAGAAATAAACAGACCATGAGGCTCATTGTCTATATGAACAGATGTGGAGTCACACTGAATCCAGGAGGATAGGAAGTGTCTCGCCGTGTCTTTTATGAATGGAGGCGGCGTCAGTGAGCTGAAGTGGAGATAAGACGGCGAACTGAGGGAACAATGAGTGCGTGTTCAGGCTCTCTGCCACAACAACAGTCTGTCCCAGATGTCAACCTCTGTGCTGCCACAGCGGGAAGACAACGGGATTCATTCCTCTGCAAAATACCTGTTTAATTCATGGGAAGTATTTTACTGGAGTACTGCGCTTCAGTACAAATGTGAGGGACTTAAAAAGAGTATTAAAATGTTCTGCTATTATGCAGGTCTCTGTAAAGATGTGCACACAACAGTCTCTGAGTCTTATTTCATCTAAAAACCAGACATTATCCAGGAGCAGCCTGAAGTCGAAGCATGACTCCCATCCGGCTCTCTGCCTCTCCTCTTGGGATTGACCTTCTCAAAGTCCGCTGCTCTTTAATCCAAACCTCACGCTTCCTCTTCTGATGTCTGTAGGCTGTTATATCACTGATGTAGAAGAGTAAAATACAACCGTGTCAGTCTACAACTAATAAAATGTGCTCCACTGTTCGATAGATCACTAATAATTGATGTTAAATCTGCCGCAGTTCATCAATATTCGAGAGATTGACAGGTGTTGCACCTGCTTAGCAAAGGGTCAAATAATCGTTAGAGGTGAGTTATCACAGAATAATGTGATTAAAGAACGACTATCCACCCACTGTCTGTCTGTCTGTCTGTCTGTAGTAACAGAGGAGAGAAGCTGTGGACGAACAGCTCGCCGCTCCACCAACTGGAGCTGCTTCCTCTTTAGTGTTTGCTCAGGTTGTTCACTAAATTCCCCCCATGCCAGCAGATCTAATGCCCTTCCTCTGCGCTCTGTTACACAGCTAAAATGGCTTTTAAGAGTGAAGCACTCAGTGTAATGTTACAGATTGGGATATATTTACCAGGAAATGCTCTCAGAGGCTGTGAAGGCCGAGAGGACTCGAACTAATCCACAGTGGCTCATTTTCTAAAATGTCTCAAAGCTCTTTCAAATGACATTTTACTTCTCTTTGTGATGATTTAGATTTTATTCATCATATAAACTTCATTTGGTTGCTCTTAAACTCTATTAAATATGTCGTAACTTGATTTAATATTTATATAATCTTGATTTAGTGTCTCATAAATATTGATCTAATCTCGTAATCTTGATATCTCTCCCATCTTAATAGATCTAATTATGTCGTCTTACAATCTTGAATTTCTATCTAATAATCTTGATTTCTCGCATATTTTAATATATCTACTTATTTTAATTTCATAGTTTTAACACTTCATCACACAATTTTGACCGTCAGTGTTTATCTCTTTCTCCCATTTCATCCGTTCATCTTTCCCCGGCAGGAATAAGCTTCTGTAATTAGCTCTAATGCAGTTTGATTAATTCCCCGTAGTCACTGCCTGAAAGGATAACACTGCAGACGATGATGTCATGTAGGACTCACTCACGCAACCAAAATATTTGACCAATTTAGGCCGGCAGTACGAGCTGGGAGCTGGTTTTGACTAAGAATACAGTTTATCATCCTGCTGACTCATAAAATGATTTAATGACGCCGCTTTTAGCATCGAGACACAGAAGCACATTTGTTTCAGCGAGTCGGCACTTTGGTGTTGAGATAATTTTGGTGTTTCATGGCTCAGGAATCCAGCGGCAGAGGAAGGCACCAGTGTTTGGGACTGAATGGATGCCGATCCAGTTTGAGGGCGTGAGGGGGGGCTGCCGTGGGATTAAGAAACCAGGCTGGCAGGAGCGGTTGAATGCAGCCAGGCCTGATGCATTTCACTGTCTGACCTCCCCTGGTGCCACCAGTTGTCACTTTAGTGAGTCATCAGCGGCAGAGCTGTGGCGTCTGTCCGGGTCGAGGCTGGTTTTCACTGACCGGACCAGACAAGGACGCTGAAGTTGCTTTTCTGGAAACATTTCCTCTTTTGTTCTCGATCTTTTTCTCTGCTGCTGAATTCACACGTTGTGTAACGGAGACACAAGATGATCTAAGTTTGACATTTTGTTAAATATAGTTGTTTCCTGGTGAGAAGATATCAGTTACATCATTACAGAAGCATTACAGGATGTGTTTAGCCTAGCTTAGCACAAGCGTGGGGGGGGCAACTCCAAAGCTATTTGATTTACATCTTGTTAGCTAACAAACCACAGATCCATCCTGTAGGTGGCAGGTGAGAAGCCTTGGAGCTAACTCTCAGCTATTTAACTAGTGAATCTTCACTGTGTCACTAAAACTTGAAGAATGATTGACGGGTGATTATTACATACAGGATATTATTGGTTGGTTCATGTTTTGTCATATTGTGTTGATTTGTTTGGTAAATAGTTTAAATAGAAGTACAATATGAGTGAGGATGTGATCTTAAAGGATAAATACGTAACTCAGCAAAAGGAGCTAATGAAGGATATTTAGATAATCTGACGGAGGCGTCCTGCTCTTCCCATTCTGCTGACATTGTGTAAATAAAGTGAAAACTAACAAGACCTGGAAGTTAGATAGGTAGATGGATACTTTATTTATCCTGAGGGAAATTCAAGAAGAGGACCAGAAACTAACTCGGAACCAAACTCGTAGCTAACAGGCTAAAAACACGTTTTATCTTAACAATCTTTCATGGATAGTTAGTGATGGTTTTAAAGGAAGGATAAACTTCTATTTTACTTTCTATTTTAGTGAACACCTCATTAAAGAGCCTCAGTCAGAAGTTGTGCCTAAAACGGTGAATCCTGCCATATTTGTCTGTGTTAGCAGCACAGAGGCTAACGGAGAAACCAGATCTGCTGCTTGAATGTCGATCTGTGCAAACTCAGCACTTCACAAAAGACACAGACAGGTGTGCGGACGAGCTGGGAGGTCAGTCATTGAACAGATAGATTTATATATGTGTGTGTGTGTGTGTGTGTGTGTGTGTGTGAGCTGTCGGGAGAGGTTGGCAGACACTGAAGAGGGTTTAATTTGTCCCGGTGTCAGCGGCAGGCGGCGGCTGATCCTCAACAAGGAGCTGCAACTGACAGTAGTCACTCCTACACAAGCTTTAGCCGGTCAGAGGTCAGAGGTTAGGTCACATGTTACATATTACCTATTTTTAATATTTACAAAATGTTAATTTGATCCCATCACACGCAGCTTGGATGCTGAGCCATTTATTACACATTTGATCAATACTGCAGTTCACGTGAGGAATTTGACTTAAAATTACAAATTAAAAGAAAAAATCGACCCCACCAACTCTCCGTTTTACGTTTTTATTTATTTGTGATGCCTGTAAACACAAACAAAAGACTGTATTAGACATATAAAAACATACTTTACTACAATACTAAAGTATATAATACTACAACTTTATTGACCACTGCTGAATGTCCCCGCTATACGTCTGCGCTGTCGGCTTATTGCGGAGGTCAGATCAGCAAGTTAACAATACTGAGAGATTCAGACTATAACTCGCTTAAATTAAATTTGGTTTGTTATAAAGGTGAGAAAGTGAATGTGATACTGGCTGCTGGTTGGAGGCCCGAGCTAATCAGCTAAATGCCAAAACATTAAACTTTTGGCCACAACTTCAAGTGTAAATTATGTAGAAGTTAAGCTTCTGTCAGTTTCTCTAAATATGTAGATTTCTATATTTATTATAATGTTATATTGTTATATTTCTATATCTGTGATATCGTTATGAACCCACCTGGTTGCTTGTTTTTGTGAAATGTGAATTTTGTCTCCAGGATAAATATAATTCAACAGGTGAATTACTGTACTGGTCTGACTAACGCCTGCAGCATTTTTCCAAGTGGTGATTCTTGACTGTTTGTTGACATAGAGCTAATTAGCTCCACCCACAGTGACTGAGTTAATTCCAACCAGTATCAAAAGTTCAGTTTCTCACGTTTATAACAAACCAAATGTCATGAAAATCGGTTCAGAATTAAACAAGTTACAGTCGATTTTGCAGTGAAGTCTGAATCTCTCAGCTGATCTGACCTCCGCAATGTAGAGCACAGGTTTCTATATCTATGGTATTAGATCACATCCCCTGTTTCTCTGAGAGACGTTAACTGGTCTCAAACCTTTTGTCTTTCCAG